ACATGGAGTCTATCATTGCTAGGCAACTCAAGATCATCCTATCTTTTACTGCGATGCTTGCATCAACTCCTTCAGGTAGTGTACCATTGCTTGGCACTTCAGGATCATCCTATCCTTTACTGCACTGCTTGCATCAACTCCGTCAGGTAGTGTACCATTGCTAGGCAACTCAAGATCGTCCTATCTTTTACTGCACTGCTTGCATCAACTCCATCAGGGAGCCTAGCATTGCTAGGCAACTCGGGATCCCATCCACTCCTGCACTGCTTGCATGGACATGAACATAGCCATTGTAATGTAGTTAAGCACCCTGCTTCTCTAAAAACCATTATACACAAAGTCTTGAATACTATATGTAATAGATCAATAGTTAGTCATAAATGTTCAACCCATGTACTTGACCTCCTGTGTCTTTGTTATCTCTAGTTGTAATGTTATAAAGTCACTTTACACCGTTCTAGTAGTCAACCAACCAACATTGTGTCTCTGTATGAGCTGTTTTTATAAGCTTGATTTCAATCAAGGATATCACCAACTTGAGCTGTCATCCGCGTCACGATACATCACCACATTTAGTACGCATGTCGGACTATGTAGATACAAACAATTAAGTTTTGGCATATTATCTGTGTCCAAAATATTTCAGAATGCTATTTGCCAAGCCATTGAAGAAATACCTGTTGCGATAAATATCAGTCATTATATGCTTGTATATGGCATATCAGCTGATGATAACTATCGGAATTTGAAAGTTGTGTTCCAAAGTTTAAATGAAAGAAACCTCACTCTCAACAAAAGGAATTGTTAGCTTAACAAATCTAACTTAATATTCTATGGGGAAATATTCTTGGCAGAAGGAATATTGCCAGATCCTGAGAAAATCACTTCCATTCAAAACAGTGCATTGCCAAAAAGCACTATGTGAAGTTAAAAGTATGCTCGGTATGGTAACATACTTTAGCTGTTTCATACCCGACCTAGCAATGATTACAGATCCCCTATGCAATTAATAGTGTGTGACAATAGGCTGAACTCACAAAACCATATTGAAATCCATTAAAAAACGATTAACCAGTGACATCGTTATGGCGTATTTTCATCTAAATAAAGAAACTGAAATCGTGGTTGATGCGAGCCCTGTAGGGTTAGGGGCAATGTTAACACAGCGTGGCAAATATGGTACCACAACACCACGAGCAATAAGTTACGCGAGTAGATTGCTCACTCCTGTTGAACAGCGCTACTCACAAACAGAAAGAGAGGCATTAGCCGCTGTGTGTGTAACTGAACGATTTCACAGTATGTGTACAGTAAACAATTCACTAATCATAAACTGCTTGAACGTATATACAACAATCCGAGTTCCAAACTGCCCGCTAGGATACAGCAATATGACTACTCAGTAATATATTGACTGGAAAATGATTATCCAGCTGATTATATGTCCCAACATCATAACGCACTGTCCAGACAGGCCGATCGTGAACAGAAAATTGCTGACAAATACTTAAATTTTGTCACCACAAATGTGACACCGAAGGTGTTAACACTAGACGAAATCGAACTCGAAACCAAAGCTGATCCAACGTTGCAAGTAGCATCCATGACCATTAAAACGGGGAAATGGTATGAAAACACCTAGTTGAATAACAAATTGATTCTATGGTTATGTGGTCCCTGCAAAAGGTCAAAGACATGTAGTTGCGCGAACTGCAACAAATAATCCCCAAATCTCTACAAGAACAAATAATCAATCTCGCTCATGAGGGGCACCAGGAAGTGGTGAAAACAAAACGGTTATTAAGAAAAAACATATTGGTTGGTGAAAGAAAAAGTCTACAATTGCTTGG